ATGACTATGATAATCTGCAAATCTTAATTGAATTTACTAAATGGTCCTTTAACTAAATCTTCCTTACAATCTTGTGTAATAGCCATGTACTCAGTCTCAGTAGTAGACAATGCAATTGTAGTCTATAAAGTAGATTTTGAACAGATAGCACAATCACCAATAGTAAAAACATACCCGTAAGAGATATTTTCTTATCAAGGTCTCCAACAAAATCAGAATCGGTATATCCAATAAATCTATCTCTAGTTCTCCCAAAATGTAAACAAACATTAGTAAAGCGACACATGTATCTGAAACCCTGCTGAATTTCATTTCAATGTTCTTTACCAAGATTTGTAATGTATCACTAACTGAAAGACTAACTACATAAGATAAATCTGGAAGTGAACAAACCATGGCATGCATGAGAGATCACGTTGCACTATAATATAGAACTCGTGACATATACTTAACCTCATCATTTGATTGTGGAGATAAGAAGATGAAAGTCTAAAATGGGTTGTTGAAAGAGTACTAATCTATTTGGCATTCTGCACGTTGAACCTTATACTTTCTTAATGTATCATTTCCGACTTAAGTATAATTTGCCTTTCATTCTATCTCTCAGAATCTCCATACCAAGTATCTTCTTTACTGCTCATAAGTCTTTCATCTCAAATTCCTTACTGAACTAGGCTTTGACCTTTTTTATCTCTCCATTCTCCTTGGTTGCTATTAATAAATTATCAACATATAGGAGTAGGTATACAAATTACCCATCATCACTTTTCTTAAAGTAGAAAAAAAAAACTATAATAGTTGCTTCTTTTGAAAAAACTATAATAGATGTTTCCTTACTGAACTAGGCTTTGACCTTTCTTATCTCTCCATTCACCTAGGCTGCTATTAATAAATCAACAACATATAAGAGTAGATATACAAATTACCCATCATCACTTTTCTTAAAGTAGAAAAAACTGTAATAGCTGTTTTTTTTGAAATCGTGAGTGGTCATAAATAAGTCAAATCTATTATACTACTGTCTAGAGGATTGTTTTAGGCAATAAAGAGACATATTTAGCAAGCACACATAGTCATCCTTTCTTGCGACTGTAAAACCATATGGTCATTGCATATAATTGTCCTTATCAAATTCATCAAATTCTTCATGCAAAAATTATGTCTTCACATCCAAATGCTCAAGCTCAAAATCAAGTATGGCCATAATACTAAGCAGATCTCGAATCAAACTATGATTTACACAGGAGAAAACATATCTATGAAGTCTACACCCGAAACTAGGGCTATAAGCAAAAATCGCTAAATCAGAAAATCGAACCTAAATCGAATTTTAGAAACTGTTGATTGGTGTCACGTGGACTCGTCAACAAAATAGTTTTGAACCAAACCAAACCGGTCAAAAATAGTTTGGTTTAGATTTGAGAATTTTAATTGCAGTTTAAAACCAAACCGGACCGACGAAAAAAAAAATATAAAAATGAAAAGTCCAAATATGTAAAATTCAATAGTTTTGTCATGTGTGAGTATTTTTGTCATTTTCTAATTTTCTATTACATATATATTATTATTACCTAATAATCCTAATTTATATCTAATACTTTCAAGACTAACCTAATATATCAAAAGCTATTTTCCTC